TCCTCCATCCAAGGCTGTCTTTGAGACCAACACTTAATGCTTTAGTCCTTCACAGGGTTGAAACTCTGAGTTCCCTCTGTTTATTATTTTCAAATCCATACTCACAAAAAAATATTTGAGTACCAGATTCACAGCAAAATATTGTATTATTTTTGATTTGTGATATTAGTTACACTAAAAATGGAATTCATTACTAAAGAAGTTGAACAGTCATAGAAAGTTACCATTTCATTGATGTAAAATCAGTGAAATACTAGGGTCTTTCACTAATTTTGTCATCATCATTGAAGAGCACTTGTCATCAGAGCTTTTTAAAATGAAATGCCTGTGTCAGCAGCATTTGGAAGCTGACATTATTTCTTGTGGGTTTGAAGCCTGACTTACCCATAATTAAACAGCACTACAGTGCTAGTTTTGCTGTGTGGGTAGGGTGTAAAGGCTTGTAAATATGTCCATGGATTTTTTTGGTCTTCTGAAGTTAGAAAATTATTATTGTCTTAATGTGGCTGGGAGACTCAGTAGGGCACCTAAAATACCAGTTGCAATTGTATATTCCTTAAACCCTAGGATGAGTTACCTTCCAACAACTGGCTGATGTGTTTGACCAAGCCACTTATCTATTCTGTAATTAATTTTCTTTGGTGGAAAATAATTTTGTGTTCATTGAAAAGGAACTTCTAAAGGCTTGTGAAGTGCTTAGGCACCCCAGCAGAGAGAAGAGTGTATTTTTTCACAGCTTTAGACAGTGTTACAGCTGGAGTCATTAGGAGCTGCTACTTCTATCCATTCTTCAGGATATGGTGCAATATGCAAGAGCATATGATTGGAATGATTTCAATAAATCCATAATTGAGGTTAGTGTAATATTTTGTGATGATATAGAATCTCAGAGTATATTCTTCAGCAAAGCTTTTGACACTTTTTCCTGCAGTATCCTTCTATCTTAGCTGACCATTACGGTTTGGGTAGGTGGGCAGCTAGGTTGGGTAAAAGAACTAGTGGGATGGTTGGCCTCGGAGGTCTGTGATCATACCCTATGTGGTGGCCAAGTGGTACCAAGTGAAATCATCAGGGTTTTGTCCTGGACCTGTCCTGTTTGACATCTTTAGCAATGGCCTGAAGCAGGCAACACAGGACACTTGGGTTTGCAGATGACAGCCAACAAGGGGTCCCAGTGTGATATGCTGGAGGGCAGAGCTGACAACCAAAGAATACCTGGGCAAGCTGGAGGGATGGGCCTGCAGGAACCTTGCCAAATTAATCAAGGACAAATGCCAGGTTCTTCACCTACTAGAAAGAAGAGTCCTTGGCAGGGGTTCAGGCTGCAGACAAGAGGAGCTGCAGAGAGGTACTGCGAAAGCCGTAAGGGTGCTGGCACATTGTCAGGTGCCAAGAGAGGTGGTGTCACCTCCATCCTTGGAGGTTTTCAAGGCTGAACTAGGCAAAACTCTTGAGCAACGTAGTCTGACCTCATGGTTGAGTGTGGTTTGAGCCAGGGGTTGGACTGAAAGGCTTCCTGACGTCCCTGCAATACTTTATCCTGTGATTCAATGACTACTTACTTATACAATTTCAGATTTTAAGTTGAATTTGAAATTTACCTTTAAGTTAATTTGCATGTCTAAAATGTTACACGCTCAGTCTGTTCTCTCACAAACTCAACTAACGCTTACTCTTGTGTGTGTGTCTGTTTTAGTGTTCCATTTAAAAGAAAAAATAAAAAAATAAATCTGGGCCTTTACCAAGCTTGCATTTCAGAAATAATCACAAGTGTTATTTGCATCTCTGTGCTTATTACTCATTTCTTTTGTGCTTATTTCTTGTGTAAACTTGGCACGTGGTTAATACTCTTTTTTTGTTTCAACAGAGGGAGAATACATCAAGATGTTCATGCGAGGTCGACCAATCACAATGTTCATTCCTTCTGATGTAGAAAACTATGATGATATTAGGACAGAGCTGCCTCCTGAAAAGTTAAAACTGGAGTGGGTGTATCCTTGAGATCAGTGACTACTTGCTGTTCCCTTTTTGTCTTGTCTTGCTTGTTTTGTTTCCCTTCAGAAACTGGTCTTTGTCTTTTTTCACAGATAAAAATTACTTAAAAGCTGGGGGGTGGGTGGAAGGGGGAAGTTAAATGTAACAATTTGACTATTGAAATAGGTTTTAGTTACTGTATAGTATGACTTTAAGCTGCCAAATATTTAGATAGGGAAAAGTTGTACCTTTTTTTTTTTTTCTTTGCTGTTGAAACAAGTTGCAATTTATTTTAGGTAGGAAAGAAATTGTCTTTGGAGAGTTAGTGTTTCAAAAATGTCCCTACTGCATTAATGTAGGCTTTACATTCAGGAACTTTGTTAGTTTTCAATTTCTGTTCATTTTCAGGAGGCTTTAGAGCTATGGAAGATTTTTACTTTCTCATTGCCCTTACTCTCAGGGCAAGGATTGCAGAAGCAGCATCCTTTGCACTACTTCTGTGTTTCAGCTTCAAAGTGAAGAGGTTAATTTCTGGGAGACTAGTTTGCATTAAATGCATATCCTCCTGCATGTCTTCTTTGCATGTCTTCCTTTCACCACCTCCATCTCTGCAGAGTCTTCCAGTAAGCTGTGATTGTATAAGTAGGCTTCTTAGGACTTCATTGAAATAACGTGTCTAGGCAGCACTGGAGTTGGTCTAATAATCTTCAGGTTGATCCTTCTGATGTTGCTGAAAGCAGGAAGATTTTTAGGAATGCTGATGATACACCGTCAAGTGTCAGGATATGTACAGACAGAGGCTGCCCATACCCCTCTCAGCATATCTGTTGGTGACTAAGGCATACATGTATTTTAAGCTAGACTTTGGCACTTGCTTTAGGAAAGAGGATTTTTGTATTATTTTCCCTGCCTTTATTAACTAATAAATGTTTGAGAGAGATAAAATTGGGTTCTTAGTTATGAAGGGCAGGTGAGGAACTCAAGTCCTCTGAACTTTTCAGTGAGACTGTGGAAGTTTAGACCATAAAAGAGGATAGTTTTGGATTAAAGGTCTCAGTGGAAGGAAGAAGGAAGCTCTTACTCATGCTTTGCAAAGCTGTGGTGCTCAGCTTTTCTGCCATCACAGCTCTTGGGTTGGTGATACTGGCACTCATGACTGCAGAGTGAATTGGGTCAGTCTGCAATCTGGCTGCAATGTAGTCTTTTTCTTGTGGAGTTCACTTTCAGCAGGATCAACCCATTGGGTTGGTTTGCCCCACAAACACGCAAGGGCTAGAGCTGGCATACTGGAGGAAGATCAGATCTGCTTTTGCAGCAGCAATGAGCAGTTCAGACTGATGAAAACTGATCATGAAATCACATCGTCTGTTAAGTAGGTGCAAATCCCGGTGTAGACACACTTATTTCATGTCCAAGGACCTTAAGTTCAGGTTAAACCAGTTTCCTGAGGCAGGCTAATTAGGGGGAAATAAATCTAGTCTCAACAACCTGTCCATATGTTTTTTGGAATTTAAGGGAATGTCATCTTAAATCAGACCAGCATGTTTGAGTGTAGAGTATTGTTAGGATACAGCGGTGAGGAAAACAATGATGAAAAGGCAGTAAAATTTATGAGGGCTTAATATTGGTCTCTATGAAATTCCACAACGTTGCTTCTCCATTTTGGAAAGGGGATGATACAGCAGCAGCAGATCTTGTACTTCATGCACAGGTTTAGCAAGGGGAAGAAATCTGCAAGCCAGCTGTAACTTCCAAGTGTGATGGCAAACTGAAGCGTGTGCACCTTATTAAAAAGGCGTGGGACACTGAGGCACAGAATATTTTAGTCATGCCAGTGTTCTGCAACTGAAAGGTCAATTGGGTGTTGGATCGTTCAGTCTGTAAGTTTTGAATGCCTTTAATTCTTCTGCCTTCTGGGTGATTGTTTAGGTTTTCCTTTGTTATTGTTTTGAAACATGCTGATGAGCTATGAACAACTTCAAGGCAAGAACAGAAGGGTTCCTGGGTTGGGTTTTTTTGTATTGTTTTGGTTTGGGTTTTTGATTGGTTAGTTTGGGAGAGGAAGTGTTATTTTCAGATAAACTGTGTCCTGCAGGTGTATTCACCTACTGATAGCCAGTACTGTAGATTCAACAGCACACACTTATTGTCTGCCTTGCAGATTAATTCCTGTCAACTGAAGCAATAACTAAGCTGCTTGGCAAGATAAAGTAGATCATGAGGAAGCGTGAGCTCTTGGCTCTCTGTTTCCTGAGTGATTTCATTTAAATTTAATAATGTAATTTGGGTATCCCTGCTTTGCAGTGCAGTATTCTGCACTTCAGAGCTGGTTAAAGCCTATCTGGTATTCCTAGGAATAGTGAAAGGGGCTTGTTTAGTAACAGCAGAGGTCAGAGACAGTGCTGCTGTTGACAGGAGGTGACTTTATAGACTCTTTCTCCCAGTGTATAGTTCAGTGTCTGGAGGCTGTTCCTGACTCCCTGCTATGAGGTTATTTTTAGCACTAGTGCTCTTCTTTCTAAGAATAATTGAAGCCAGCAGTAAATTTACTATTAAATTTTGGTGTACAGTGGATCACTTTTCTTTAGGGCCATGGCTGTTCTTAGCCAATTAAAAACAAACAAACAAAAAAAAGCCACCACAACTAAAACCTGTTAAGCATATCAAGTGTTGTGACAAAACAGTGTTTGTAATTGGTGAGGAAAAATTCACAATAGGAAGACCACTGTTTCTCAATTGCCCTGGTTAAAACATTGCTGTTATTGAAAGATTAAAATTGAAATTTAGGGGATATTAAGTGTCAAAGTTATGTTGCCCCTTTTTCTGTAGAGAGAGACAGTCAATTATTATGTTAACATATATATAATAAATAACTGCTTTTTTCTGACTGTGTGGAGAAGGAAAGAAGTGCTGTGGAGCAACAACCCCTCTCATTTTCTCTCAAGATAATCTGGAATGGAAAGTGAAGAAAACAAAAAAATTCTCTCACAAAATAGGTTGTTCCTTTACATGCTTCTAAAAAACACACTCCTAGAAAATGCAACCACTCTTTGGGCCTTTATTGTGTATGAAGAGGAAAGGAAAGGAATAGACTAAGAAAACATAAATATCTTTTGCAGCCTCATGAATGCCAGAGCTCAATGGTGGGTGCCAAAATATTTAGCCTTAGCTCTGCATGGCAGACTTCTGCTGTGGAAAGACGTGGTTGTGTAAATCATTAATACTTTTCTAGGGTGGATGTTCAAAGATGTCAGTCTTACTAAATCCTTATCAATACACTCCGTATTGTCTACAGCAGATGAACAAAATCTGCCTTTCTCCTCAGAGGATGTATTTAGCATAGTGTTCTTCATGCTTCAGGATAGAAAAAATATTTTCATTGGTTTGTAGCCCATCATTTTTTAAAGTTCAGTGGTCTGGTTATTTTGGTTTATTTTGGTTTTTTTTTTATGAAAGGCCATTCTGGAGTTTCTTTTTGTTCTGTCAATGTTTAAAAGAAGACGACAGAGGAAAATTTAATGGGAAAGTAAATAGGGATGGAGGAGAAAGAAACAGCAGCTTTTTTTTTTTTTCTTTCCAGCCCTCAAGCATCGTGTTCTGTCAGCATTTCTCTCAATGTCATTTGCTAAGCAAGCCAGTGAATAATCTCAGCTTTGGAGGAGCTATTGTGTTCTGTAATAAATGGAAGACAGCAAGATATAAATCAGATAAATCCGTTTTGTTTTCCATACGCTTAAGAGATTTAACTGGCAACTGAATGTGGTGTGCCTCTTTGAACCATTGTCTAGTTACAGCTTGTGTTTAACTTGGCAAGTGTTCCTGTGGTTTGATTGAACTGCAAAAGAGAAAAGGTACAGTGGTGAGGGATTTGGGGGCATGAGGGGCAGTGCTGGAAGGCATGTGGTAGTATTTTTGGTAGAACTGTAGCCCTTTTTTGAGGAGAATAGAGACCAGGCTGTCAGCTTAGGAGATGTCAGTTTAGATACTCCAGAACTTGGACTACTGCACCTGCTTTCTTTTAGGGGAAAGGGCCAGTTGCACCCATCCAGCTTTCTTTGTGCTGGTCTTTGGCTTTCTGTTATTTATGTGATTAACCAGGACCTAAGGCTGGAATCCCTCAGCTAACATTACTTAATGTCTTTCCCATACTTTCCTTGCTTTTGCAGGTGTGTTAGTTGGCACTGAAGTGGAGAGCTCTCTGAAGTGCAGGACATAACAGGAAAGTTACATTTTTTGGGGGCTACAGAGCTACTGTTGAAGTCTGAGTTATGATGTTAATTGTACCTAGTGACCTTGGGAACTGAAATACAGGCAAAGAGCCACATTAATAGTCTAGGTGAAGAAAATTGCACCTGTTTCTAAGAAATAATGAGTTGCAATAACGTTTGATCAGTGCTAACCAAGGCTGGTTTGCAGTGTGTAAAACTTAAAAAATGTCACTAGGAGTCATCTGGGTTTCCTACAAAAATGAACCCTTTTATATATTTTGGATAGATTTAGATAGAATATTTTTCACTGTGTCAGCTGCCTTGGACTTTTGTTTGTTTTAAAAATACTCTAAAACAATCTGAAGAAATATTTCCTGACCTTGGCAGCTGCTGTGCAGAAGCCTGCCTTTTTCTGAAGGGCATCAAGACTTTTCACACGCTTGCTTTAAGAGGCCAAATGAAAGTAATATTCTGATCCTTGAGGTGCAGATGCACAGCTCTGTTGCTGTAAAAGATGTCAGATTGGAACAGTGAGTCCTGCTGTTCCCTAATGAAGCTTCACATGGAGGTGTTTATAAAATGACAACACTGTATTTGTTTTAGTTCAGTGTGCTTTATGTATTTTATTTTTTACAACGATGAGCATGCCTTTCTAAGGGATTTGGTTTCCTGAAGTCCATGGAGTTTGTTTTGTTAAAATTGTGTTCCTGAAATTGTTCTCTAGTTCCAGAGGAAAACATAAAAGGCATTTGCTTACATGAGAGCTCCTCAGGAATCCTCTAAGAGAAAGAAAGAGAAAAAAAGTTAGTGGAATGTTTTTTTTTTTTCCTGGCTTACAGTGATTTTGAAGACCTTGACTTTAAACAAAAATGTATAGGTATGGGTATCGTGGAAGAGACTGTCGAGCCAATGTTTACCTCCTTCCTACAGGAGAAATTGTCTATTTTATAGCATCAGTGGTGGTACTGTTTAACTATGAGGAGAGAACCCAGCGACACTACTTGGGTCACACAGACTGCGTTAAATGGTCAGTATATAACACTTGCATGTAAGTATGGATGTAACAATGCAGAAATTTATTTCCTTATTCTCTCCTGCATGTATGTATGAGCTTGTTAATATCATCATAATTGTAGTTATTTTCTGTTTCCTCAGTCCCAGTACATTCACTGTAGTAAACGCTGCACAAGTGAAGGGTGTTAGGCAGTCCATGCTAGTTTAGGATTTCTGTCTTAAATGTAGAACAACAGCTTACATAGACAATGTAGGATTGTCTGATTAGAGAAGAGATCTTTGCATAAATTGTTCTAATTAGGTGAGCTAGAAATGAAAAGTTGTTGTCAGTCTAATTCTAAATTAGCAGAATGTAGAAGTAAATAAATTCTAAATTTATTTAAAGGCATTATAGCAGAGGTGCAGTCAAAGGAAAACTGGAGAACCAAATGGAAAACTGAGCAGTAATTTTCTCATTTTTTTGATAGAAGCCCCATCCAAGTATTAAGACTCTCTGAAGGATCAGAAAGTTGTGTGCAAAACAAAACAGACACGGGGAGATTGAAGCCCTTGTCACAGGAGGTGCAAAGGCAGTTGCTGACTTTACAATATTAGTCTGAAGAATAGTGCATGTAATGTAAGGGTGAACGTGAGCTCCCCACTGTACCTGAATGGAGAAGGGTTGTCTTCTCTGTTCTCCTGGCTGTGCTTTGGTAACTGTAATTGCTTCCTGTCAGAGGAATGCTGTCAGTCGTGTCTTCACTTTCATTCAAAAAACTAGACTTAATTGTAAATGGCTTTGGCATCCATTGTTCAGACCTCTTCAGGCTTTCTCCTCCCCCTTCCCTGTTTCAATGGCTTTCTTCACCTTTGTAATTTTACAGAGAAAGCCAATAGGAAGGTTGGTCAAAAAATCACTAGGACTAATAGGATGTGTATTCTGAAATCTGTTTTTTCACATCAGCTCCAGAGCAAAATGGGATAAGCAAAAGCTTTTTTGTCCTTACACTAATGTAGTGCAGCATACTGGAGAACTTCATTAGTTAGATCACTAATTTATTTCAAGTGGCAGTAATCCCTGACTCCTGGGTGCACAAATCCTCCACCAGCTTTTCAGCTGTTTTTTCCCCCTGGTTCACACTATCTTTAGGTTTAGCCATAAAGTCTGCTGTAGTTTTAAAAATACAGCACATAACTAGGTGTAAAAAGTTTATCATGAGACAATGTATATTTTGTTATCATGAACTCCTGATACAGTGCAAACCTTGATCCTCTAGAGCATGGATGGAGGTGGCTCTTATGGCACTGCAGGTTGTGTGTCAGCAGCCATTGCCTGATCAGCCCATCAATACAGCATGTAATGAAATAGTCTGATGAAAAATATTCAAGATGTCTCATTTGAAGTGGGATTTAGGATCATAAGTGTCTTCATGGGCTTCTGTTGAGAAAGGAAAAAAAAAAATTAGAAAAAAAACTCAGTTTTGAAGACCTATGACAGCAAAAGCAAGTCATATTTCTGTCTGTCTTAGTCTTGCAGTTCATCCAGACAAAATTAGAATTGCAACAGGACAGTTAGCTGGAGTGGATAAAGATGGAAGGGTAAGTAATAGAGCTGTTGAGCAGTAGTAACTTGTTTTGAAATCAGGAAAAAGTATTTTGTTTTTTTTTTAGTCTCATCATCACCTTCTGTTTGGAGTTTGTGACGTCTCATCATCACCTTCTGTTTGGAGTTTACCTTTACTGAGATATTTTGCTGTTTCTAAAGTTACAGCCTATATCACTAGTAAAAGACAGTAACTACTAAGCACTCTGCCATATATCAAAAAGAGCAGAAGCTAATCAAGTCCTTTACCTGTGACACCGAAAACTCAATTTTAATTCTGCAAGCAAATGTGAAACTTGTAATTGATCTGTACTGCCAGGTCGCTTCTGTCACATTTCTTTCAATAAGTTATCTCCTAAAGGAGAACAAGTCCCCCTTCTGTGGGTCAGTGTACTCTTAAGGCTTCATGGATGAAGAAATTAACTTTGAGAATCCATGGAAGGTGTGTCAAACTTGCCTACAAACTTGCTCGTTTGAGAGCAAGCATGTTAAAACATAGTTGTCTCTGTCTCTTGGCAAACTGTAAGAATTTGAATAATTGGATTATCAACATGAAGTTAGAAACAAATGGAAAAAAAAAAATAAGGGAAAAATAGAGTAGATACTGTGAGGTGTAGAAGCATATTAAATAGAGCCTTTATTCAGATGTTCAACTTAATTTCTTAGATTTTGTAAGAAATTGATGTGAGGTTTTTTGTATAGATGTTATGATTTCCACTGCACATTTGTTAGGGCTGGTTGGTTTGGTTTTCCATCAGTGAGGTGATTTATTCTATGGTGAATGCTGTCCTCAAGCCAACTTAATTCCCACTTTATTTGGGATTGTTTCATATTTATGAATCTTAGCTGGTTGGGGATAGTGCTTGTATGAAATATAACCATGGCTCTTTTCATAGAGTATTTGGTGAGGGTTAGGGGACTCTGTGCACCAGGGTTGATTGGTTTGTTTTTTCCTACTTTATATATTAAACAATGATTAATATATCAAATATATCAAACAGTGTTTGATCATTCTCTTCAGGTGGCTAGGTCTGGGCTCTGAAATGCAAGATGGCTCTTCCATTATATATTTGTTGGCTTCCATTACAGAGAGATTTATTTTCACAACTACCAAATGCCACCCTACTTAATTTCCTGCCTTGATGGCACTGCTATCATGCTTGTAGCCCAGACAGAGGGAGCAAGATTGTCTTGACTCTCACCTCTTGAGCTTCAAGATCCTCTCCAGCAGCCCCACCAGCAGAGGTCATCCTGCATTTCGGTCTCCGCTTTGTAGCTCCGGTAGCATCTGCTGAACTAAACTTGCCACCAGCTGCTGGGTGCTTCCCTGTTGATGATGTTGTTTGTCCCATTGGTTTTTCACACAGCCTCTGCAGCCCCATGTTAGAGTGTGGGACTCGGTGAGCCTGGTGACACTGCAGGTCATCGGCCTTGGGACTTTTGAGCGTGGAGTGGGGTGCTTGGACTTTTCGAAAGCGGTAAGAGGGGTCCAATTGATGAGTTAATTTATCCAATCCTATGTAAACAGGAAGGAAATCTGTGGAGATCTTGTATGTGGTTGTCTAGCTGAGCTGTTTTGGTATTACAAGTGTGTGGGTAAAGTTTATGTATCCTTGATAAAACCAGCTAACAGCAAGCTAGCTGGAGAGACAGGAAACTGCACGTGTAAAATTGTGGTAACAAACTAGCACAGTGAATAAACAGCAGGCAAGGAAAAATCTCAACTAGAAATTGAAGTCCGTGCTTGGTTTTGTGGTTTGGTTTTGTTTGTGAGGGGCTTGGCTTTTTTGTGTGGGTGTTAAAAACAAGTTTGCTAGTGATGTTCATGAAGAGAAATTTTAGTGAGTTCTGATAGAAGGGGTAACTTTTCTGCTTGCACGGCAGGAGCAAGGTTTGAATCCACCAACAGGAAATTTAAAAAACAAAACAAAACAACCCACACACCACCAACACATTACCTTGTGCTGTTTTTTTTTCCCCAGGGAATAATTTGTTCAATTTGTGCCTCTACTTTTACAGAGGAATAAAAAAAAACAGCACAGAAAAGGAAGCCTCGTTACTAGGCCCACAGGATTTATCAGGAAGGCAATAACAAGCACAGATTTGCTTCTTGTCACTGATAAAGTTCTCAATTCATAATGTTGAGGTTTTTTTGTAAAATATATGTATATTTTAATCTGTAAGCTGCCTTTGGATTTTTACCAAAGCACTGAGACATATCAGACCTACTGAAGGCCTGCACTGTGATCCTGCATGCCAGCCAGAAGAATTAATATGTCCTAAAAAAAAAAGTCTAATTTTTTTTTTTTGCTAAGAGAGGAAGAGATTCACAGGACAGCTGAGGTGGGAAGAGATGTCTGGAGATCACCTCATCCACCATCCTGCTTACAGCAGGCTCAGCCAGAACGTGCTGCTCAGGGTAGTGTCCACCTGAGTTCTGGGTATCTCCAAGGATGGAGACTCAATAGTGTCCCAGAGCAAACTATTGAAGATAAATACTTACCCTCTCTGGCTGCAGTTTCCTTTAACATTGAAATGTTGTGCCATTAGTTGTTATCTAGGTTTTGTTTTTCAGTAAATAAGTGGTGGTTTGTTTGGGTTTTTTTTAAGTCGAGAGCAGAAATAAACAGAATAATGTGAAAGGACTACTGTCATTCCTGTCACTCTAACAAGTTGTACTACAAATTCTGAACTTTTCTGTTTTCAAGATGAATAAATACATGTTTCATCCTTTTAAAAACAAAGGAAACAAATCACTAAAGAAATTTTGAGGACTAATTTTTAGTTTTTATCAGTTCTGTTCTGTCACTAGAACTGATTTTGATACCTTATTTACAGTCTCACGTGATTCTTCACTAGACTGAAACAGTGAGTGGGCAGCATTGAGAACTGTGGTCTTACCACAGATTTCCTCAGCCAATGCAAGAGCTGTGTATATCACCACTGCTGTCTTCCATTTCTTTTCACTTCATAACTGACATGTCTTTATGCATTTTACTGCTCATAATAGTATTTGGGAATAAAAATTTCAACCACCTCTATTTTCATAATCTGATAGAGAATGTGGTTGAACTGCAAGAATCAACTTTAAAATAAGACCTCCTCCAAATCTTTCTACACCTGTCCTTGAAACAACTGGTTTGTGCAAGTATGTGTTGCTGTGAATATGTATTTGTTCTAAGATTTTGTCTGCTTTTAATTCCATACAGCTGTATTTACCATTTTCTTGTACAATTCTTCAAAATAAGATATTTCAGTATGACAGCACTCTAGATGCCAGTCTTTCTGTTCTGTCAGCATCATTTTATTCAGAAACTGGTACCTTTGCTGCATTTTTACCAACTATGTGGTGGAACTGCTGGTACTTAATGCTCCATGAGGGAAAAACAATGAGACGTGCTTGCAAAATTTGATAATGTGAAGTTATGTGTATGTGGTCATGACATTTAAGAAACAAAACAAGTGGAGCTGTGTGTCTGTCCTCTCAGAACTGAGGAAAGACAAAATATTTGCAGCACAGAAAAAGGCAGAAGCCTCTTTGGTAGTAGCATGATATTGCAAACAAATAAATAAAAAAAAAAAAGACAACAAAAACAAACTGAAAGGGAAAAACTTGGTAAGATACTTTTAAGGCTTTCCTAGAATATATTTGAAGCATGGTCATCTTTTGTGAGATTATGTAAAAACATGTGTATCTCTAATATTAAAGGAAAATGCCAGATATATCAAGCTTATCATTACTTTAAAGGGACTTAATTAATTTATAGTTGTACCTTTGTGGATTTTTTTAAATACTACTGTCCTGCCCTGTTTGTAAATGGGGTATAATAGTATTTTGTCACCATTTCTTTTTTTTTTCCTTTTTGTTTAGGATTCTGGTACTCATTTATGTGTAATTGATGACTCTAATGAGCATATGCTCACTGTATGGGATTGGCAGAGGAAATCCAAAATAGCAGAAATAAAGGTAATTATGGCACAAATTAATATCCTTAAATAGAAGTGGGTTTGTTCCCATGAATAGAACAGTTTGTGAGACACTTTTGATATTATTAGTTGGAAACTGTAACTGTGTAATACTACTGGCTTGTATAAGGTCACAAAAATGTATTCTTGTTCATTAGAAGGGGTTTGAATATTGGAGAGCTTATTATTACATTTTACTCATCCCTAAAAGCCAATCCAGATAAAGAAATTCTCTAATAATTTCCCAATTTAAAAAGAAATAAAACACGGGGATTTAAGAAACTGAAGTGATGATTCAGTATAGAGTTGTTTCTTAAAAACAAAACAAAACCAACACAGCTTTTAGACATTCTTTATTTTAATTTTTGTCTGAACTGAGTTCCAGACATCGATTCTCAGGACGTGTCTTTTCTCATCTGAAGTCCATTAGTGCTTTTGTAGATTGCAATCCTGTTTGCTTCCCTGCTTCTTTAGTACACTTCTAAATTTCTGATCAATGAGTTCTCAGAGGTGTTGCACTCAATGCCCATCTGAAGTTGATTTCACTGGAAACACACAATCCAATAATAACTTGGTGTAGAAGTCCATGTTTTGAGACATCTTTGCATTATACAATATCAAGCAAAGAGATACTACAAGGATGTGGAACTGAGTGGTTAAAAAATTTAATCATGACTCTACAAGCTTAAGTGCCTCTACATGATTACAAACTTATAATGTCAGCTAACAAAATTAGGTTGGTTTGACTCATTTTCTAAGTTTTGTTGACCAATAATAATTGTATTCTGTTGTTTTAATGTTAATTCTCTGTCAGTATTTTCATTGCTTGCTGATATTTAATATGAAGCTATTTGGCCTATGCCTTGTATTTCCATTTTTTTGACTATGTTTTGACTATTTCCACTCTCCAGGGAGTTCCTCAGTGTTTCAGAATTGGCCAGCAGTAATTATTTGTGCTTAGGACTTGATCTTGCAGCATCCTAAGCACCTTCCACGATAGCTGGTATGAGCAGTTTCATCCCTTGAGCTAAGATGCCTTTTCTCATCTGAACTCCATTCAATCTTTCAGTCCTTAGTTTCCATAGGATTTGTGGATATAGCAAATATGCTCATGTGGATGAAACTGTGAGTGAGAAGCATAATTCAATAAATATGGCCATCAACAAAAAACAACACTGAGGAAGGTTGTTTTCCTAAAGCAAGCCAAAAATGGTGAAGTGGGAAAGGGGTGCTCCCCAGGTGCTGATTCAGCAGCACTTTTATGTACCCTTCTTTAAAGCCTGGGCTTAAATCCCAAGGAAGTAAATGCACTGATGCATGTACCTAAGTGCTTTGTGGAGTCATTGCCTCCAGGAGATGATTTTTCAAAGACATATTCAACAAAGACAGTTTTGTTGAATATACTTTAGAAGTTAGATAAATGACAAGTCGGTTTGTTGTTTTTGTAAAATCTATTGGTAAAGGATAAAATACTCACTGAGGTGTTAGTAATTCAGTAACAGCATATCCAGCCATGTTACTGTTGTCCCACATGCCTCTGTCACAGCTTTGTTGTTCAGAATATTAAACCAGTCCTGTCTAAAAACCAAGCAGGGTTTTCAACACAAAAAAAGCCTTCTACACATAATTCACTTTCTATGGCAAAAATCTTAGCTATTGCAGAGGTCAGAAGATTTTGTGGTCTTAAAAAGTGGATGTAAAGCCCTGACTTTCCTACTGAAGTTCTGCAGAGATCTCTTATGAATGTAAAAAATCGATATATATAAAACTATATGTGCAATCATTCAAAGAGTTGATTTAACATGAAACACTTATGAATTCTTCCAAGAATACAATGAGCTGTCTAGTTCCTCATTGTTCTGAAACTTGGGATTTTACATGTGTTTCTAGTAGTTAATGTCCCATCTGAATAAGTATTTTTTTTCTGTTATTATTTCAGACTACAAATGAAGTTGTTCTTGCTGTAGAATTCCATCCAACTGATGCAAATACCATAATAACATGTGGTAAATCTCATATTTTTTTCTGGACCTGGAGTGGTAATTCATTATCAAGGAAGCAAGGGATATTTGGGGTAAGAATGTCTTGATATCAAGTCAGTTTTAAATCAATGGAATCATCTGCTCATGCTTTCTATAAATTTGCTCCATTTTTACAGTGTACAGTTTGATCAGAGGTTAACAAACAAGGTTAAATTCTTACCTGTATGCAGAGTGTTTGGGTGTGGGTACATTAGACTGGTTACATAAGAGTACAAGCAGTTATCCCTTTGTTTTGCTTATTTTGTTTCAGAAATATGAAAAACCCAAATTTGTTCAGTGTTTGGCTTTTTTGGGAAATGGTGATGTGGTGACTGGAGACTCAGGTGGGATAATACTTATATGGGGCAAAACTACTGTAGAATCTACTCCAGGAAAAGGACCTAAAGGTAGGACACATTCACAGTTAATCCTAAATTTTAGACAGGCTGTAGAAGACAAATATAAAGGATTGCTTTAGAAAAGGAATAGGGAAACAAGCCTAAGGGTGTTTGCTTCCTGTTCTGAAGAGGTGGAACTTAGCTACTTCAAATCTCATGAATTTACAAATCTAAGAGCAACCCAGAGCTTAATAACTATTGAGACTGTGCCTGAAATGAATGAAAACTACTTTATCTAAATGTTTTGCATATAAAAAAATGTGCAGTTAATCAGCTTTCCTTTCATCCTGAGATTTGAAAAGGGCTGTAGGATCAGTTTGAGGATTCTGCAGGGTACCTTTGCCTCTTAAGCATTACATTGTACCATGCTTAGTCTTGGAGGAGTACCATTAAGTGTTGAAGCCAGTGTTGATAGAATTTTTATGTGAAGGAAAAATCTGATGCATAGTTGAACCAATTACATAAATAACAGTATCTGGTTTAGCAGATACTGAGGTATTGTCTGTAAAATACACTTCAAACCCCATCTTATTTGAAATTTGGGTTAAACTTCCTCTTTAGGGCAAAGCTTTTAAAGTTCCTCTTTAGGGCAAAGCTTTTTGTAAAAAAGAAAGGAAAATTATTCATTACCCAATATATGCAAACCTGGCACAGTTGAGCCCTAAGGTAACTTATAAATTCAAGGATAATTTATTTTATTTGGCAGCTATTTCAAACACTCTGGTTTAAACTGGTATGCCAGGAAAACGTTCATGTAAAAAGTACATTTTTAATGGTAAGTCTATTTTTGTAGGTAAATCTCTTTTCTTGTCATTCAAGCTAACTGCAATGGAAAAGTAATTTAACAAATTAGCTGATGTTTAATTTTGAAGTTCTTGTGCAAAAATAACCTCTTCCCAGTGTAATCTTAAAAGATATTGAATTGCACATTTATTTACATTAACTTAATTAAATATGGGATCTTCTAGTTTGTTTATCACACTAGATAACTAGATAATTAGAAATTATTTTTCCCAGTGTGAGAGCATGCTGACTTGAACTGACTTGAGCCATAGGCAGACTTAGCAAAGTTAGGCTGGAACTTATTTGGGTGGTGTTTTAGGCTTTTTCTGTGATTGCTATTTGAAAATACACTAGTGTCAAACCACCAGAATATTGCTTTTTAAAAAAACATATTTTCCTACAGCAGTTCTTTCGACATGAAGACCTGATTAGGATGCTAAAGGCTTCCTTTGCTACCTTTTGTTGTTTAATTTTCTCATTTCTCTTGTTCTTCCTAGTGTTTTCCTTTGAGTAGACTGCTATAGTGAGAGATGGCAAGTGCTGGTTGTGCTATTTTTAAGTGAGGCAGCATCCAGCATTAGATATTAGGTTCATGCATTCTGGAAACATTACTATAAATAATTTGCTTTTTATTCCCATAAGAGTATAGACAACAAGTCTTTGGGTTTCTTTTAATAAAATATCTTTAATTCTTTTCTAATAATGGACTTGCTAAATATTTAGCAATTATAAAGGACAGTTTCTCCTGCATCTGGAAAAACTGTGTTCCCTTGGATAGCAGAGAAACGAAAGCATTTTGCAAACAGTTGTTGTTCTTGCCTTCACAAGCTGTAGGACAATCAATCTCAAATAAGTTTCATTTTGGAAAGATAGGCCCTTTGTTTTATCTTTTTATCCTGTAAGAAAACACTACCACCTTGTGTTTGCAGTACTAATAAGCTGACAGTCCAAGTGTAATTATTTATTATATGTTGTTACTTTATTCTTCTGCCAAGAGGTGCAGCTTCTTGTAAACCCCAGGTGAAAAAAAATGAGCAGTGTTCTTTATTATTTTCTTTTTGTGCACCTAGGAGTCTATCAGATAAGCAGACAGATCAAAGCTCACGATGGCAGCGTGTTCACACTCTGTCAGATGAGGAATGGGATGCTGCTGACTGGAGGTGGGAAAGACCGAAAGATCATTCTGTGGGATCACGATCTGAATCCTGAAAGGGAAATTGAGGTAAGAGAGCAAGAGTGACAAGGAAATTGCTTTGAGCAAGGTATTGACTGGCAAGACAAGACCCCTCCCCATCCTTTGGAGCATCGGTAGGTAGGGTGATAGAATATTTTCTAGCTACTGTCTTTTTAAGTGGATGACAATGTTTTTATAATAAAAGTGTTTACCTCGTCAGCCTGGAAATGAGCCTATATGAGGTGTCAGCTCTCCTCTGTTTAAGTTGAACAGAAATTCTCCTAGCTCACCCTTAGTTTATTTTACTTATCTTTATTCTTTAGTATTGCCCGTGGTCTTGTTCAGTTTGACTGTAACCAGGATTTGAGGGGTTTAATAACATTTTTCACATAAGGCAAACAATTGATAGTATACATATAGGTATCCTGTAAGAGGTAATGGTTAATAAACTGTGTTGAGGAACTTTTTAACTTTATTCTAAACAGTGTTCAGTGTACATGTATGGCTTTGTGATTTGGCAGTAAATGGGAATGAACTGGGAAAAGTTGTACATTATGGATTTTAAAACACTTTTTTTCCTCCGACCATAAAATGACCTCTTGGAATAATGTATTTTTCTTAAAGAGTTCTAATAATGGTTTACTCCATTTACCTAGCATCCATTTGTAGGTCTTTTTTTTCTGTAACATGTATGTTTAGTTCTGTCTAGAGTTTATGACCTTGAATTGTGTATTGACTTTAGAAAATGTGGCAGAGAGTAAGCAAGCATTGTCTATCATATACAATTTAGGCTTAAGTAACACGCTGTCTTCATAACAATGTCTCTGTTTCCCTTTGGTTAATAATATTAAGTTAAATGGAACCTTTTATGTTTGGAAATATTACCAGAACCCTGACAGAGAATTTTCTGAATGATTGCATTGATTTTCTATCTTGTATGGCTAATATTAGTGTATTTTCTAAAGATAAATAATTTAGAAAACCAAATGCATACTCTAAAACAAAGCAGTGAATTAGAATTCAAGCATGCAATAAACAATAAAATTCAGAGTCATTGGTGACATAATGCATATGAACATTTCCTCAAGGCTAATGAGGAAACATTAAGAAACCCAGGAAGCATTTACTGTGTGCTACAAGATTTTTCTTATTTCTCACAATGTGTTTTGAGAAGCAAACAGGAACTGCTTATTATTCCTAGCCTGGTAAGATGAGCTGTAAGGTTGTGGAGTGCATTTGTTCCATGTATTTGACATCTAATAGTTCACATAATTTAATTGGTAATTTTTTTTCTGCTGAGACTTATTGAAATGGCATAACAGTGATTGTTTTGGTGTGAGATTGTCTTGTATGTTTATACTGAACAAATAAATGAGGTAGATTTTGGGACTAGGGTAGGCATAATTGGATTGTTTCTTTTTACTGGGAGAACTGCATTTTTGGTGCTGTGTTGTGCACTGTTTGTGGCCTTCAAAAATAAGTGGCTGTCAAGATGCATGATGTGGTTTTACAGATATTTCTTTTCCTAGGTTCCTGACCAGTATGGAACAATCAGAGCAGTAGCAGAAGGAAAAGCAGATCAATTTTTAGTGGGTACTTCACGAAACTTTGTTTTGCGAGGAACTTTTAACGATGGTTTTGTAGTAGAGGTCCAGGTGAGCACAACATTTTTTAAACTGTAACCCAAAAATGTAAAGGTTTTCCTTACCAAGATGTTATTTTAAGGGAGTCTTTATTTTATCAGTTGTTAAATCATATGTGTTTTCTTTCCAGGGTCATACAGATGAACTCTGGGGACTAGCATCCCATCCCTTCAAAGACTTATTTTTAACGTGTGCCCAAGATAGGCAAGTTTGCATGTGGAACTCTGTGGACCACACACTGGAATGGACCAGGCTGCTAGATGTATGTCAACCCTTTGATGTTAAATATGAAGTTGGAAAAAGGAGCACTTTTCTGCAACACCCTTGCCCCATCTGATTGCAAGAGAAGCAAAAATAACTGTAGTTATGGCTTTAATAACAGCTGCTCAGAAGCTTTGGTAACCTTAACCAGGCTCATCAGACATTGTACAGATTGTAATCTGGTCACCATTGTCTGATGCCTTTCTGACAATCCAAGTTGAATAGAATTGAGTCCTTTGTCCTTGTTAGTTTAATTTTTCTTCCTAGTTATTTAAACAATCAGAACCATACGGTTATGCAAGGTTTGGCTTTGGATGTCCTTCCTTGCTGTCATTGTTCATTTCATGTTCTAGTTTTGTCCTAATACCTGAGCAAAAGTATTTACATAGACAGGAAAAAGTGTTACACAGCAATTCAGGCTTTTACTTTCAAGAAGGTAGTGTTGTGTGTGTCACTGATAAATTCAAAGAAAATCTGTCTGAGGGTTATAAACGTGCTGCTAACTGATTGTTTCTTCCTGTGTCAGTTCACAGCAGAATTTTAGGGTAGCTTTGGTGTGGGGAGAGGTGTTTCCCCTAAGGAAGCAGGCAGGTAAATGGTGTGTTTGTCTCTCTGTTCAGGAGCCAGGGCACTGTGCTGACTTCCATCCCAGTGGAGCAGTGGTCGCAATAGGAACGCACTCGGGCAGGTAAAGGCCTCTCAGCCGAGCGGTGGTGATTGAAGGTTTAAAGGAGACAATTGGATGCTATGGATCTTATATGTCACAATCAATTTGCTTTTTATTCTTTTTGCTTGAGGTGCTGTAACCTAAAAAGCTTGGTGGAAGGGGCAGATCTTTCTTACATGGTTTAAGTGAAGCTGGAAGAGTTACTTTGTTGCTAGGCTGCTTTGTTTTTTTTATCTGCTTTTCATGAAGGCCCATATCTTGATGGGGTTTTTTTAAAACTTTTTTTCCAGGGTTTTCCATGGGAACTCCTTATTGGCTTCAACAAGAGTCATATATTTTAATATTGTGTGTGTGTGTTACATTAGTTTGTAAGACAAGTACAGTACAGACCTATCTCTTTCCCAAATCCAACACACTTGCAACCTCTTAAGTCAACACAGAGAGGCAAGTGAACAGGCAACTATTTTGTTTTTTGTGTCAGAAAATTCAACATGGCCCATTGCTGCAATGAAATGCTATTGAGCTGTTCAATTTCTTGAGATCCTGACATCACTGTGTACTTCAGAGCTATCAAAACACAAGCTGGATGTTTTAACTCAGGCTTGTTTCAGTAGTGGAAAAAATTTATTCTAATTCATAGTCATAATCTTGCTTGGTATCATCTCCCAAGAAAGGAATCTCATGGGATGGATTTTTAGCAAGTACAAATGAAAAGAAAAAACAAGATATTAATAGAATTAGAAAGGTGAGAGGAGCAGATATTAAATCTACTATCATTTTTATTATGTTTTTCAGTTATACCTCACAGTTGACAACTTGATGATGAAATAATGAATAGTGCATTTAAGAAAACTGGCATTTTTTTGAGTGTTTAATTAATGTAACATCAGGCTAGAAAACATAGTTTACCTTTCTAAGAAAAATCTTGCTGAGCTCTTGTATATTTGGTTTCCACACTGTACCTTTGCATTTTTTTTCATCTCTTTGTAATTCTAGCATTAAATTGAGCAAGTGTTTCATTAAACAGAGCAGAACATACTGGCCTAATAGTGCTTGAAACAGGGAAAAGAGAAGAGGTGGTCAGGCTACATTTCTTGGTAGTTACTAGACATTTTTGAAGTTAGATCAAAGCACAATCAAGGCATGTTGAGCAGCCAAGGCACTGAGCCTGTTGTTTGCTTTTGAATGACTTCTTTTTTCTCTCCTCATGGAGCATTTAACATTACTTCTGGAGTTCAGCACTTTTCAGTTAAAATTCTTATTTCTTAAATTACTTGAGGCAGCTAGTTTATACTGCATTGGATAACTTAATGGCTTTATGTGCTGGTTATTTATTTGTTGGTTTTTTTTTTTTCTATACCTTGTTCTTCAAACTAAGCAGTTATATTTTCACAATTATATTTTATTGCATTCTGAAATTGCATGATTCAATCATAGGTTTAAGATATACAAATGAAACTGAATTGAAATGAGGCCTGGTAAGTGTATGAGTGGATGAGAAATAAATGGGGCTGTGAATCAAGATAAACAGACCAGTTTTAAATGTACTGCCTCACCAGCAGTATCACACATTGCTTTCTCTGCCAGATAACCTCCTCTAAAGAAGTTACTTCCCAGGGAATGAGGGCTTCATGATGCATCTCAATTAGCTTAGGAGGAATTAATCTCAGGCCTATAACAAGTTATTTAATAACTTGATTCATAACTCAAAATGCTTAAAGCAAATATTAAATTAACTTTAGGACTCGATAAACTCAAACTCATTCAACTCATAGATGTGTCTGCCTGGTGCCACTCTGCTTCCAGTACAGAGATCAGTAAGACAGGGTAAGGGAATGAAGCCTTGAGAAAGTAGAGTTTGATGGCTAAAATTGTGACACCTGAAGAAAACTGAATTTTGTACCTCTCTTGCCACTCTTGTGTGTTGTTTCACAGTAGTATGCTTTTATCAGGCCAACACATCTTGGTTTTGGTGTTTTTTCCACATAGCACCTCCCATGATGAGTATTTCAGTATCATTTCCCTTTTGGAGCTTTCTGAAAGTGGTCTGCTGCAGGTTTTGTTACCACCTCTTTAAATACCTGCTGTGTGTCTGATCATCAGTTGTCCGGGATTAAGTCTAGTTTGGACAGAACTAATACTTTTTGTGGATCCTGATGTTTGCTGGAAGTGCACAGCTGGAAAACTAAAAATGACTGGGAATCACAAACCCTATCAGAGAAATGGGTTTTTGAGGCACTGTACAGATCCTTTTGGCTTGCTGCCAGTGGCATTATTTGCAGGGATAGACCTTTCTGGGAATAAACATATAGAAGGTCTTGAATGCTGTACATATGAATACTCAAAAGCACTGCAGGAAAAAAAAAGTCTAATAAAATTCATACAAAAATAATAACATTATTAAAAAACCTGAAGTCTGAAGGACAAGACCAGAGTAACAAGGAGTTAAATCAGTCAGCAGAGCTGACGTGGAATAAATCTCAATAGCATCTGTTGTGGTATTAAGATGAAGAAGCCTAAATATCTCAAGGAACCCATCTTGAAAGATGTGTTGACTTGTGCACTCTGGTTAATGCCATGTAGGTTCAACATTGAGTGTTAACTAAATGTGGGAATTGCTGGTCTAAGTGCAAAAATATATTAGTAGTGTGGAATACCATTTCCCTAGTGATTTAAACAGAATAATTATGTATTCACAGATGTGAAGTGTCTGTAATATTTGTCTGCCATGGGTCAGAATTGGTTTTCCAAAGGAGAATAGTTTAAGGGGTGTTGTTTCTAAAACATCTATTCTTTAGATAGGTGGTTAGTATTTTTTAAAGCAAAGGAATGAGAAGACCAACGAGTCAAGCATGTTATCTTTGGTGTAACAATTGGGAGGAAAATTGGTAAAAATAAGAAAAAGAGGCACTTTACAGCTGGGATAGCATTCATCCATTTATTTAATCTGATCTATGGATCAGAAGTTCACTTGGCAGCCAAGCTTTGCATTTCATAGCCCTCAGGACTTTTTCAGGGGCCTTTGCATGTTGCATACCTTCATGTTGGGAGGAAGATACTCTCCTGAACCCCAGCTATTTGTGAGAAGGGCCTGTGTGGGGAGTGCTGATGAACTGCTGTAGCTGCTAGACTGGAGGTGCGTTTCATGGGGACAGGCTTTCTTGCTGGCAATTGCAGTGTGTGCCATGGCATTGGGAGAGCTTAGAAGACAGAAGAGAGCATGACCAATTACAGCTTGTGGAAGCATCAAGAAACAGCTGAACTAGATGTGACTAGTGCTTCCTTTCTTAAATTACTTCAAAAATTGTCACGGTGCACTAACTCTTTCCACGGTCAGCTCAGAGGGCTGCTAGTATCTGTGACTGATGTCACAAAATGCTATCTCCCAATGCCAAATGGATTTGTGTGCACTCTTGCATTGTATTTGATACCACACAATACCACCACTGTGCTTTCAGTTAAACAGGAGGGGTTTGCATGTTTTTTCAGCTGTATTTTAGGGTTTTAGTGCTTTTAATTCTACATATTAACTGGAAAATTACAAGGTTCAGCTAACTCACAAAGGACCAGCCTGAAGAGCTGGTCTCAGGGCCATCATCAAGTACATGCAGGTATGTCCCTGCTGCAGCAGTACCTCTGCCTTGCACTGCTCATTTATGGACACACATGTTTCAGTACTCCCCTGGGCTCTGTGACAGAAGCAGTGTGTAGCACAGTCACCTATGAGGGGGCATGGGAAGGGGGTACCCATCCACTTTGTGAAAGAATGCTGCTTTTGGTTATTACTATGCTGATGAACAGTTTCTGTGTTCAAACACTTCAGTTGTGTTGCTTGGGATAAACAGACATCATGCTGTGTCATCTGGCTAAATAAATAGATTTTACAGATAACTTAAACTCAGTGATGCCTTCATGTGTGTTATTCCTATTGTCCTCCCATCAGGACATACTTTTAGGGCAGTTTTGTTGTCATAGTGAAGTTTTTTTTCTGTCTGTGGCAAAACAGCATAGGTACTGTCTCCTTCCTCCCTGCCAAACTCTTTTGTGGTTCTGTTTGGTTGATTTGTTTTAAATTATTTTGATTTGTTCCTTAGTATTCACACCCTTGCCAGGGTTATCAGCCAGGTAACATTTTAGTGAAGCAGTTAGCAGGTCAAAGGGCATGGTTTGGACTAAAACAGAACAACAACTTGTAACTCCTGTTGTGTTCAGAGAACCCTTAAAGCTTCAGTGCAGAGATTGGAAATCAAAAGTCCACTTTCAGCAGAGGGTTACAGCAGAGGAACTCTGAGTGTGGTCTCTGCTGCTGTCCAGTGCAAACATATTAGCTGTTTTCCACTAGTTCCATCTGTCTTACAGATTCTCCAACAGCCCATGGCATGTGAGACTGGGTTTTTTTTAATGTGTATGTCATTTAACTGCTTTCCTGTGGTTCTCTGACCACAAGCTGGTTTTAAGCCACTGGGACCAGGCCACTTTCCAGTCACCTAGCTGCTGGACACTGGGTGAGCTCTCATCTCCATCTGTAGAGAGCAGCGATGTGCGCTGTTGTTCCTGGGGTTTATTTTGGGTTGTAGAAGTTTGTTATGGAATAAATGGCTCTAGCTTTAGCAGTGTTCCACTGAGCTGACTCTGAAGCAGTGAGTGGAACTGCCTTACTCATTTCCACAGTGTGGGAACTCCCTGTTTGCCACGAGGGATGGAAATGTGGCTGTGGTGTACGAACGTGGTTCTGAGATCAGAAGTTTGGAGCAAAAAATTGAATTCTGAGTATAGCTTTAGTGTCTTTAGCCATGTAGACATCTTACATTTTCACTATATAAATGTCTGTATCTACACATTTTTAATTAATTTTCATTGTTTGCCATATTTGGGAGTTAGGTGAGGAGCAGAACCATTGCAAAACACTTGGGTTCAGCTGATCGTGCCCATCTTGCTCTCAATGGCCATTTCAGTGTGCAGGCCCCTCATTTTTTTTACATGTGCCTCATAACTAATAGAACAGGTTAAAAGTTATTGTTAAATAAGCAAAGATGCAGTTAATTACCTCAGTTAAAAATAATCTAAGCAGAAAATCAAAAAAGCTATCTTATAAACCATCAATTTACAGTAAGTGGTTATTCCTTCTTAGTTTGATGAAATTATTCATAGAAACTGAAAGGACTGAAGGGAAAATACTGAACTAGAATATACGTTGTGTTTAAAATGAGTATGGAAATGTTTTCAACTCCCTCCTACTTATTTTTTAAATTTCTTTTAACTTTGCTTGATAAAAAGTGAAAGATCAGTTTTTATATGAAAGCTGTTCTTCAAAATGGGGGAGAAATAGTAGATTAAAATTCAGCTGTAGCCTTAAGGCTTCAGGAGGATAAGGTGCAGTCATATTAGCAATCTGGTGGCATGTTTATCATCCAGTAGACATTTTGGTGATTACTAGTGTTCAAGGGGAAGGGGGGGAATTTGAAATCTGCATTGCTTTGTGAACCAGAACTGTATTCCATTAAAAGCAGATGTTCACTGTGCTGCCCTTGAGGGCTAGCATGAGGAGAGGAAGGCAGGCTGTGATTATTGCTCTTTTGCTTGAATTTTTTTGCTTAGTGGAAGCAATGCTCATTGGAATTCTCCTCTCTCTCTAGGTGGTTTGTTTTGGATGCTGAAACGAGAGATCTGGTTTCAATACACACTGATGGCAATGAGCAGCTCTCAGTGATGCGCTACTCAGTAGGTATGCAGACTTGTACATTTGGAATAACTGCTGATACATGAGATGGCTGCTCTGTTAAATGGTGTTAAACTACACCCCAGTTACTAGAAAAGGCAGAACTCTGGAAAGAAAACAAAAACAAAACAAACAAAAAAAACCACTCAAACCATTTTTGATGCTTAGTATATAATTGAGTGCTTGCTTACAGATTTGTTTGTGCATGCTAAATCTTGGAGGTTTGTAACTGCAAACGTTACAGTCACTTTTCCCAGCCTTTCCATCATGCTGAACTGTGCTGCTATAATAAACATTAGCTTTTCTCCCAGAAAAATGAAAATTTCTCAGCTAAATACTTTACGAGGTAACAGAGAAGTCTGTGAAAAGCCTAGTACTTCAGTAATATTTTAATGTACTTCTTAGTTAATTTCAAAGTTGATTAAAACCATGAAACTAAGCTCAGGTCTGTCAAACTCAGAGCTGCCTAAGTGTTTGCTATGGGATTACATGGAGTCTTCTCTTCAGATGTGACCTGACAGATCATCAGAGACTGATTCCTCTCTGTTAAAACTGGTTGGAAGAACAGTCTTGTAAATCTGTTTCTTGTTTGCTTTTGGATAATGTGCCATGTCAGTGGGCAAAATGTTTTTCTACTGCTGCCATATCTGCCAATCACAGCAAGTTGTTTTAAAGCATTGATGATCATTGATACTAGAAGTGTTTGATCATGATTCAAGGCAACTCTTGTCCATGTACTTTTTTTTTTGTAAATGGAGAGAACACGTTAGAAAACTGCTTGTAATGTTGAATGCTCCACTTCTTTAGACATTATTTAGTGCTGATTTATGTGCAATCTCTACCTCCAAAGCTAAGCTAACTATAGAGTAAATATTGTTCTGCATTTTTTGTGATGCAGAAAACTCAAGTTTGCCTACCATTGACAATTTCTGAAAATCCAGTGCAATTTGAGGATTTATACCCTGTCCATTGGACACTTTCCTGTAAAAAGCAGAACTGAAAGAACTTGACCAAAAACCATGCCCACAAAGTAAACAGATACTGACTGAAAAACAACATGATGTAAACAGTTATGTATCCTTAAATACAATTTGTAAGCTGTAGTTTAATTAAGACTATTGTCCTAGTGTAAATCTGAAATAATTAAAATTTGGAAAACAAACATTCTGTTAATTTATATCAAATATTTTGTGTTGTAGATGGCACCTTACTTGCAGTTGGATCCCATGACAACTTTATTTACCTCTATGTGGTAACAGAAAATGGAAGAAAATATAGCAGATATGGAAAATGCACTGTAAGTTTTGGAGCAAATATTAATCAGCAGTTCTTGCATTTTCATGCCATACACTAGAATGTTAAAGCAGTAGAATTTTCTCTGGGTTGATGCCATTCTGTTTCATTTTTTGCTTATATTCAGCATTTGATTGATTTTAAACTGAACTCTGATGTGTACTGCAACTCTTAGAGTTAAGTGAACACTGCAGCACCAAATATCACTAATTTTTCAGACTACTTACTTTTTCTTTGAAATGGGAAGTTACCAGTAAGATGGATAATTGGCTTGTTACCTATAAGTGAAAACTCCCAAGAAAATATCATTTTTTTTTCAGATATTCTCTTCCTATTGATAAAGTACTCCTTAGACCAACATAAGATATTGGAATTTCATTAGAATATGTAATTTTGAAGGTTGCCAATATGCACTATTTTCAGCTGTAATTTTTACTGCACAATTTGGAATTGGGAGATATATTAGCAATAAATTTCTGGCCCAGGAAATCTTAAGTGTAGCACAAGGAGTGGAGTTTATATTAGTCCTTACACTTAGGTGAGGTTGTCCTAGTACTAAAAAGACACTTTTTTCCTTAAGTGTTTCATATTCTAACATCCTGGCCTTAATTTCAGCTATCTCTGTAGGTTAGTGGCAATGTTTATATAAACATCTGAACCTTAATGGGATTTGCAAATGATATCATAAGAATAGGTTTCATGTTTGAAATGTGAAATGTTTCTTTTAAGGAATGCATCCCCAGCTCAGAACACTTTTCATATGTTTGTTGTCACTTGAATTTCTTTAGTTTTGAAAATAAGATAAATTCTCAAGCTGCTTGGTTAATTTCAAGATAAGAGGTAAGGGGACCATAAGGCTATATTAGGAGGGGGTTGGTTTTTTTATTATGTCTAAGAGGTTTTTTTTTCCCCTACAACTTTTGATGCAAGATTTGCAGTGGAAATGGTTAGGGGAAACAAATAAATGTCAGGCAGTCCTTTAGTGCCTTGTGTGGCATCTTTGAGAGACTTCTGCCCATCATTTAGCTGAGGACACCCCGTGCTGTAAAAGGGTAGGGGCAAGGTTGTGATGCAGGGTGAGCCAAGGTGTCCTGCAGCCCCTGAGCAGGATGGTGACAGGTTTAGACAATAGCACAAGGGTCTTGTGAGGAGAAATCAGATCTGCAGCCTTCCCAGGCAGCAGGGAAAGGTCTGAGCCTACAGGGAGGTCAGACCAGGGCTGCAGTGGGGCTGGTGGGGACTGCAGCAGATGACTGCACCTCAATACAGCATTTCGTCCTGTCACTCATTTTATAACCATAAAAAATAAAATCAGTCTGAGCTGACTAATCTTAACATATGTAATATTTAGCTTGCTATGTACTTCAAGGTCTCTCTGAGCTCTCTGAAGATGTATGAGGTCGTTTATTTCTGTATATTACATGTATTATGTATCAGAAGAGAGCACATTGTAATTTAAACCAGCATCTGGATGTCTGTCTGTCCCTGGGCCTTGACACAAAGATGGTTTTTTTTAAATTAGGATAGGAGAAGTAAGCATTGTTATATTTAGGCAGGAGCATTAAGGCTTCAGAGCAGATTCCTGTTAACCATTTTTTTCAGTTTGAGTGACTGTGCAGAAGCCAAAATTAGCAACTTCATTTCTGTTGGGGCCGAGCTCCCCTGACCCTTCCAGCCTGAGCAGAAGGCGGTGGCCCTTTAGCTGGCCGAGCTCATGGCGAGGCTGCTGATCTGGTTTTGGGCACCTTGCCCCTTCCCTCTGCCCCTGCCAGTGGTGGTGGCCAGTGCCAGGCTGATGCCAGCAGGGAGACACCCAGGCATGCTCAGGACCTGGAGCACTCTCCTGGGCGACGCTGGGGCGCTGGCAACGCGTCCTTCTGGCATCCTCTCCTTCAGAGCCTCACGGGTGACCTCCAAGTAGTATGACTCAGTCCTAACTGGTAGTCAGCTTCTGGTTGTTTCTTCCAGCTTCAATACATTAGATGAATGCTTTCAGAAGGATTTTATCTACTGAACCAGCATCAGCTTGTGCACAAGGGCTGCGTGCCCACTGTTATATTTAAATCACCTTTCAGCCACCACCAGGCTGTCTGCTGCTGTCGCAGAGGAGACTCTCTGACCTGTGAGCCTGTTTCCACAGTGAGGGGTAGTGTTGGTTCTGATCAGAAGGAATTTCAGATGAGCTGAAACAACCATTCCCACTAGTGCAGCTGTTTTTTGAGGGCTCCAGCTATGCAGACAGCAATGTGGAGGTATGGGCTGGGGTATGAACTTCCAGCCTGTCAGCAGCTCCAGGGTAGCTGATGCTGTTTCTATTTGCCTTACATCAGAGGGATCTGTTAGCAAAGGGGAAGCAAGTGCTGTGCATTTACCAAGAGGGCTGTGGGGTGAAGCCACGTGGGCAGCCACGCTGAGATATTTGATACACTGGAGTTATCCTGAAATAATTAGTGTGCCCGTGGGCATTTTCAGCCCTTGCACCACTTAAGGCTGAAAACAGATAAGCATTGCCAATGAAGGAGTGGGTTTCCATTTAGTCAGTTTTATTAGCCAGTGATAATATGAGGAATTACATTCATTCCATATAAAGGTACAGAAAAGGAAAGAGTAAAATGTTGCCTAATTGGTGGGCTGCTACCAGAGACAGATTTTAGGAGAAAATAGGATCCTTCTATTGACAGTATTACGACAAGGTTATGTTCCAGTTCATCGTTCAGCAATCACTCGCCTGAAGGGATTCTGCAGCACGGAGCCCCCAGCCAATTCCTTTGTTCCTTCCCCCTCCACCCCAGGAATTTTAACAGCTGCCAAATGTCTGGCAGGATTTAGTAAATGACTGACCGGTTCTTTTCCGTGTTGGAGTTCTCGTGCAAATTTGAAAGCTTGGAAAATAAGGAGGGGAGAAAAAATCCTAGCCAATTGTGCATTTATTTCTTTTTCAGAATACCAAGCTTGCATGTTGATATCAGATATCCCACCCATGACTGCAAAGCAGTTATGTCAATACACAGTTCCTCTGCTGGAAGCAGAAACTTGCTCATAAGTAAATAAACCTTAAAGGCTAGCTTTTTCTCAATGTTTTTGCAATCTCTCACAGAGGACCTGGGCACAGCGTCCCAGGGTGTATTCCTACGTGTAATTCTGGAAGCAATCAGCATCTTTTAGAGTTCTCTAGAGAGGAAGGTGGCATGGTGGGTGGTGGCATGGCAGCCAGTGTGGGCTGGGCCAAGAGACCTTGTGGGGGGTTGAGGGACATCATAATGCCCTCAGAGAGGGAGATGAGTTGGTATCTGTCAGTCAAGAAAGTGGCATTTTGTTGCCTGTCAGAACGACTAGGAAGAAGGGGCTAAGGATGTCTTACAAGGGAAAAAGGAGCAGTAGAGAAGTGGACAGGTGGAGGATGAAAAGAGTGACATAATGTCATTTCTATTAATTTGCTACCCTTTCCTCTGCAGATAAAACATTTATTCCTCCCTTACACAAATTCGTGGCTTCTCTGAAGCCTTTCATAGCTTGATTATTACTATTATTGTTATTACTACTACCAAAAGAGTTCGTGCACTGGAAAAATACTCTAAACAGCTGCATTTAGCTATTCCCTCAAAACCAAAGATGAATGTTTATCCCTCAGTGTGCTCTTGATGTTGTTAGCTAAGCAATTAGGCCAAAGTGTTTTGATTCTCACATAGAAGACTCCATAGCTATAGGGAAGACTCCTTTCACAGCTGGTGCTCACATGCCTGCAGTGTAAGAAATGCAGCAGAAAACTTTCAAAAAGCTGAGTGTTCTTGTAACAGCAGTCCTTGAGCTTGTAGTTTTACATAGTGGTTGATAAACAAGGTATCTCAAGATTTCAGGGTGAACAAAGGTTATTGGAAAGCAGGTACATTTAATGGAAATTTTGAATTAATAGAGAAAATAGAGTCCTATCTGTCACATTTCTGTTGAAATCTAAAACTGATCCTCTGCAAGTTACTTGCCTTTATCTATTAGTAGCATTGTATGCTTTCTTAATTCAAGTACAAATGTGTATTAATCCATATTTTAGCAACCTACCTTCTAGGAGTAAATCATTCTGGGGTCTGAGAGGGACACGGTTTACAAGTGAGGAGCCCACCATGTGGTGGGAGAGGCAGGATGCCCAGCCTGTGTTTGTTTAGCTGTTAGCAAGTGTGGCCCTGTGGAGTAAGGAGCCTTTAAAGGAGGACAAGTTAACTGCAGCAGAGCTGGGGTGGGTGGAGAGGTGCTCCTTTGCTGTTAGCCATCCCATCTGTGGGTGCTTCTGTTTGAATTCAAGTGTTTCACATTGCTCTTACTGCATTCCTCTCCAGGGACATTCCAGCTATATTACACACCTTGACTGGTCCCCAGACAACAAGTATATAATGTCAAACTCAGGAGACTATGAAATACTATACTGTAAGTATGACATTAAATACACTGGAAACAGAAGTATGTATTAGCTGTCAGAATATTTAGAAGAGTGTTTTTTGATTGGGACTGTACAAAATGCTTACTGACAAAGGAACCAGTTTGAACTTGTGCAACCTGATATCTTGATGTTATTCAGAGCTGTGTATTACCTAAGGGCAATGCCAAATATAGCTTACTTCTTTACAAGGTCATAAATCAGTTTAACAGTGTAAAATATACAGAACAAGTGGCACTACGTTTTCATGTTGGCCCAAAGTTCTGTGGATTGAAAACAACATATACAGTTGTCTAATTATTGTAAACAACACCAGTTATTTTGGGGGAATAAAATCAGAGGGTCTATGCCACTCTTCTGAGGTTTCTTTTGTTAAACTTTATCTTGGCCAATGGTGTTGAAAACTAAGCAAAGCAATAATAGTACTTTATTGAGTTAGTGGTAATAACATTTTTAGTTTTGTCTTCTTTAATATGTGAAAATATGAATTTAATATATAGTAGTAATGTCAAAATTTCAACTTGCATAGTGCATAGCAGTCTGGATTTAAATTGGGTTTTATATTCTTGTCTTCCTGTGGCTTTAACTAGATCCAAGAGGATTGTAGTTCTGCTGTATGGGCAAGCAGGGCCAGCAGTTTAAAAATCTGTCACTGTAACATGTTCTTCCTGCTTCTCACAACTTAGGTTTCTAATCTGGGTCGTGCAATATCTCAATCTACCAAAAGGAAGTGTTGGTGCTAATAACTGCCTATATATAGGGAAGCAAAGAGCTGTGACCTGTTAGTACTGGGCTGGTGATGGACAATATTTTCTTTCCTAGTTAGAAGCTGAAAAGCAGTCCAAGGCTACTCTAGTAGTAGTTGCTCACTGTTTCAAAAGCAGAGCTTCCTGAATGATTGCATTTTAGCCCATCAGTGGTGCTCGTAGGAAGGATAAATTATTCTGTTACAGACTATTAAAGCATTCCATAGAGTAGGTAGCAGGGGACTCAAGCTGCAAGGAAGTGTTTTTGAGGTGTGCTGATCTGAAGAAGGAAATGAGAAGTATCTGAAGTAGAGCTTCAAGTATTTGGAATGTGATAAAGGTATTGGTCTGTCTGCCTCTACAGTATGATTCCAGATGGGTTATAAGATGCAGTTATCTACTGTCTTAGCACCTTTAAAGAGCACACATGTCAATATAATTTAATATGGCATAACTCATTGTTTGCTGTTTTTACAGGGGACATTCCAAGTGGCTGTAAGCTAATCAGGAATCGTTCTGACTGTAAGGATATAGATTGGACAACATACACTTGTGTGCTAGGCTTCCAAGTGTTTGGTAAGCACCATTTGTCTTGCTTTTAAGCTATTCACACTATGCTTTTGTTTTCTTTTGCTTCAATTTGTCATTATGCTGTTAATGATTGTTGAGGGTATGTTTTCTTTTGCTTCAATTTGTCATTATATCTATGCTGTTAATGATTGTGGAGGGTAATGCTGAGATGACAGAGCAAAGAGACTGACCCACAGTACTTGTCTGTGATACAGAGCACTGGATGTTCTATAGACAGCTTACAATTGATTTCTATTTAGTCTTGATATTTTGGATTTGATTTTTCTGCTGTGTTTTAGCACTGCAGCAAAAAGCTGATATTTTAAGGTGCTCATATGGCACGTGTGCATTCTCCCTTGCTTACCTTGTTTTGGGATAGGAACAAGACTATGTGAGTGTGGGTGATAGTTGGTGATTTAAAATCATGGCAGCACTGTGATACCTGTCATGAAAGCTGAGTAATACACACTGCTTCTAAAGAGTAAAAATACTTTAAAGATTAAGCATTTTATTTTTTAAATGTACAAAAAATTTGCAAAGCTGACAGCTACGATTTTAATAGTGCAGTTTGAACTGTTGGGTCACACTCTCAAAGTGCATTTGCTGAAGGCAGCTCTGTTGGCCATGAAAACGAGCCCCTCTGTGAGGGGTTGAAAAATATGATTCAGCCTGTCAGTGTTGTACAACCAAGTTGTGTGCTAGCAGATGTTGAAAGCCTTGCTTCCACTGCTGAGATCAGATAGCTGCCTCTGCTCTTCACGTTGCTGGAAACATCAAAAGGAGGTACATCAGTAGATTCTTCAGAGGTGACAGATCTACAAATCTTTTCTTCACAGCTACTGGGAGTTGAGCTTTGAATATCAGTTTATATAAAGAATAGAAGGAAATCAGTTAAGTCTGAGTGGTTTCTGTAGCATCTGACACCTTTCATGCATATTTTAGAGCTGTCATGTGCAGTTGATATGTGGGCTAACACTCTTGGGTAGCATACTTGTTGGCTAGAGGGTATTTGGTGCTTTATAACCAGGCTTGGTTTCCTTTCTGGTTACCAAAATTCTGGGCAGAGCAGAAAAATAAAGGCATCAGAGAAGGAAGCTGACTGGTTGATAAACTGTGTAAATATTTTTGAGTTGTTTGGAGCTTGAGGTAGGTGGCAGAAATAAACAGGAGTGTGCTGTTTCTGGAGCTGAATCCTGTTGCTAATTGCTAGTTTGATGAAAATGCTGTCTCCCATTAGCCTGAGAACCATGAACAGGGTTGGATCTTTGTTTTTATTCAGTCTGTCTGGGTGAAGTAATGAGTGGATGGCTGTTTCCTTCTCGTGTTCTGTGCATATAAGCCTAGGGTGACAAGAAATTGCTCCACAGCAGCATTTCCTCACTCTTTGCTACTGTAACTGAAATAATAGTGCAACACAAATGCCTCTTTTAAAATGCTTTTAAAATAGGAGTATGAGAAGATTCAGGAGATTGTAGAGGAAGTGAAAAGCACAACTGTCATGCAAATATGATGCCTTTCTTCAGGAGCAATGAAAATACTTTGTAAGGATTGAGTATTCCTTCTGGAATAGCCTTGGAGCTGAAGCCATTTCACATTTTATGCAGAATACTTCAACTTACCAGAAACATAAATTTTAGCAGGTGATGGCTCTGTTGCTATTGAACCTTCACCTCTACATTTGGTGGTAGAGTAGATGGAGTAAGAGGAGCAGCTCTCTGAATCCCAGTGCTTTCCCAGAAGTGTCCTTTACTCCTCATCTAAGGGGATGAGGTGTAGGAGTACAGAAGGAGTTTGGTTTCACATCCAGACCATTGGCTTTGTCTCTTTCACAGCTGTCAGATAGAAGCTGCTGGTGACTAGGGCCAGGCTGGAGACAAGCACCTCCCATAACCACTGTTTTGAGAAGCCTTTTTACATTTTAGTTTAAAAAGGGAGATAAGTCTGCTGATCCTGTCTGCATTCCCTTTCCCCTTTGGATTAATACACCCTTTAACCACTCTGGATTAAGTTTAATTAGTCTCAACTGCTCTCAATATCTTGTGTGCCAGAGGACTGGGGAGTAAATTAGATAAAGCAGATAATGTGGTGTTATTCTGGGGCAGAACAGAATATATATAAACTTCCTAGCCAAGATTCATCATGCACTAATAGTCTATTGTCTGGTACTCTGACACCCTTTGCTGAATCTTAAGATGATATCTGGTTTTCAGACAAAGGCAAGTATTTTCCCATTAAATCAGACAGTGCAGCTAAGCCAACCTAGCAGATATTTGCTGCCCAGAGGAGAAGTCTGGCTTTGACCCGAGGGTCAGCTGGCTCAGGGATCCAAACAGGCTGGGAGCTGCTCACTTTGATGTTCAGGAGAGAGGGTTTAAATTTATGGCATTTGGGCTCTGGGGGTATGTGTTTTACTAATTTAGCTCTGTGGACAGCGTGTCTGTAGTCTCATGCATTGCACTGTTGTCAGTGGAGAGAGAGGATGGAAATGCACAGTTAGATGAGAATAGCATCTCTCTTTTTTGGCAGTTGGTGGTGCTGTGTTGGCTCAGCAGTATCATCATTCTGCACCCAGAGCACTTGGAGTCACTCTCTCATTTACTGCACGTTTCCCACAGTTTCATCTGAGCAGATTCTTTGGAGAGATTTACTGGTGACTAGCAGAATTTATTAAAAGTGAAGTGATTCTGTTGTACCCAGGAACAAAGTCTTTTTTTTTTCTTCTATTTTTAGTTATTAAGAACTAAGAACCTGGTAATATCAATGTCTTGTTTTTTTCCATGTTTGCCTGATACACAGAAAACAAATTCTGTTGTCTTACAACAAAGGGTTGTCTTGCCTTTCTTTATAGCTGCTAAAGGAATTTATGAACACAAAAGATGTTTAATAAGAGATATAGTCTTGAATATTAGTCTTTTTAACCTTAAATTAATAAGGAAAGGAAATTACATAGCTGTTTGGCCCAGTCTGCCTAAGGTGGTAGCTGAAACTTCAGGAAACTGAAGTTCATGGATTACTCCCTGAAGAAAGTATTTTATGTATAGAATGCAGGTTAAAGTTAAAATTAATTTATTTTGAGCTACTTGAAAATTCTTAAATAGTATGTATTTTTCAGATTGATTTAATGGACCTGAGAGCATTAGAATGTATCTGAATGTTTTCCTTAGCATTCCATGTCTTAGTAAATCACCCTACAATGTAGCTTATTGGCATTGCAACGAGCTTAACAAGCTGCCTTTCTTATTCTTCAGAGAAAATAAAGTTCTCACTCCACCCACTGAAGAATGGAAAAAACTCCCAACTTTAAATGCCATTTCCCATTTTGCTTAAAAACAAGAAAAGATAGTGTGGGAGTTAAAAAAAAGATAAGGCAATTCTAAGTCAGCATTTTGTGCTGTGTTAAAATAATAGCATATGATTTTTATTCTTCCAAAGTCAGTGATTATAAGGGAGGAAGAAGGTGGTTTTGTGTCTGATGATGAACATCCCTCTCAGTCCATCAGACACACAGTTTTTGGGATGAGGGGTGAAAATTCCTCCTAACTTCTGAACTAATCAGAAACCCAAGTTTGAGCTGTAAAAATACGGTACCTTTGGCATAAATTAGTATCTTAGAACCCCTTGCTTACCTTTGCCCAGCTTTTCTTGCAAGTGGGAATCCTCAGTTTTCTTATGGGAATCTCTAGGGTCTTTATTTTTTGGTTAAAACTAGAGCCTCCCCTCTCCCCAATTTGTTCAGTGCTTTTCATCCAGGCAATGCTGTTATTCTTTCGTCTAGACATCTCTGTGTCATTCTTTTCACTTAAAAGCATATTGAATTGTACTTAAGCACTTGACAGCACTTACATCTATGAAACTAATACAGCCTGAGTTTCTGTGTGAAATATCATCCATCAGTTGTCTCCTCTGAATCGTGCAAATAGTAAGATTCAAAATAAACCCAAAAGAAAGAGCTGCATAATGTGCAGTACCTGAATATTTGTGCACAGCACAAAATATTTGTGCCTGAACAAAAGTATTAAATTCAGAGTTGCTAGTTTTAGCAGCAAACTTATTCCTAAGATGAGCTTTAAACAAGAATGGGGTTTTGAGCAGGAGACATGTAGTAAACCCAAGAGGTTATCCTGGCTGAAGATTTGGGGAGAGCAGGGAGTGGGGGAGCAGTATTGCACTAGCAAAACTCAGTGCATATTGTGGTGGGGTTTTTTTTAATTGTACCTTTTCTCACAGCTTTATATATTTTATTTATGGATTATCTTTTAATTTGCTTCTAAAACTACTGCCACTAAATATCTGCTCTGCTCTCTCCTAGGAGTTTGGCCTGAAGGCTCAGATGGAACAGACATAAATGCCCTGGTCAGATCCCACAACCGAAAAGTGATAGCGGTTGCTGATGATTTTTGTAAGGTCCATCTCTTTCAGTACCCCTGTTCTAAGCCAAAGGTAAGTCTAGAGCAGTCTAGTCTATGTGCTTGTTTGCATTGCATAAAGCTTTCCTTGCCAGACATGTGCTTACAGCTTGGTTGTTTTGGAACCTGGCAGCCAAACAGCTCATTTACACCTGAGAACAGTGCTAGAGACTACAGCATAGCTTTCCCCAGGAAGTTTATATATAAAATAGAAAATAATACAAAATATAATATACCTAAAAGTGAAGTGGCAATAGTTACCTTTAAATTCTAAAGCCTCTGGGGCTTGCTGCTTTCTGTCTGCTGGCCTTGGTGTTAGGTCCATTACTTTTTGTGTGAAGGTCTCAATCTATCCCAAGGTACAAGCCTCAGGAAGAGAGGATGTGTTGTGCAGGGAGACCTAATATAAATATAATTCTTTACTTGCATGGGAATAAAGAGCCTTCTTGGAGGACTAAATAGTAGTAGTTTTAGATTTTGGTATCATGTGCTCTTTTAATCAAGACCCTGGAATGGGTTGCCCAGGGAGGTGGTTGAGGCCCCATCCCTGGGGGTCTTTAAGGCCAGGCTGGAGGAGGCTCTGGGCAGCCTGATCTAGTGGGAGGTGTCCCTGCTCATGGCAGAGGGGTTGGAACTGGGGGATCCTTGTGGTCCCTTCCAGCCCTGACAGATTCTGATCTGTTTTAGCAGAGGACTTGAGAGCCCTAATGGCTCAATGGTTGGACTTGATGATCTTGGAGGTCCCTTCCAACCTAAAGGATTCTATGATTCGATGTGTTTTATCTCTCTGCTTGTTTTCCCTAGGCTCCAAGTCACAAGTACAGTGCTCACAGCAGCCATGTGACAAACGTCAGCTTCACCCGTAGCGACGGCCACTTGATTTCAACTGGAGGGAAAGACATGAGTATTATTCAGTGGAAACTTGTGGAGAAGATAACCCTGCCACAAAATGACATTGGTGTCGACGTCGGCGCGCCCAGAGCGCCCCTCCCTGCCAGTGAAAACAGTGTACAGCCTCCTGCCCCTCTCCCACAGCCCTTCAGTGAAACGAACCAAAACGAAAGCGTCACTGGCAGCTCTCCGGCTTCTTTGGAGAGCAACTTGGAGCAGTCTGCAGAGGAGCAGAGCGAGGAGCAGAGCGAGGGGAGCAGCCTGGATCCTGCCGAGCCGGGCTATGAGGAGCCTTCCCACGAGCTGAGTGAGGAGCACAGTGGATCCACGCTCACTGAGGAGCACCAAGAGGACTCCCCCGTGTCTTAACGCCCCCAGCGCGGGCGGGTGTGACCTTCCCGTGGCGCGCGTGCTTTCGTTACAGGGTGAGGGTTCAGACAGGGAGAGGTAGCTGAGATTCATGACCACTCCAGCTTTTGAGTTGCAGTGAGATTTTTTTTTTAGTTTGAGCTTCAGTTCAACGTGTGGAACCGTCCCAAGGGCCTGGCTTGGTAGTCTGTGTCAAGATCTGGTTGCAGTTAGTAGTAGACATTACCGTAGATCCATTTCAGTTCTGAAATTGCTGTCAGGAAGTGGCATGAGTTATAGACTGGAAAAAAAAAAAAGCTTAGCTCTGAGAATTAGCTGAAGTAGACCACCTTAACTATGTGGAAGTGCTTTCTGAAAGAGCTAAGCTGATGGGAAGCACTGAGCTGTTCCAGCTGGGGAGTACTGTGCTGCTTTTTCCAGGTGCAAAGACAAGCAAAACAACAACAAAAAGCTCTTTGTAGGGCTGTTTTCCTTTGTTTTTTCTTAAGAGAGAAGTAGACCACCTTAACTATGTGGAAGTGCTTTCTGAAAGAGCTAAGCTGATGGGAAGCACTGAGCTGTTCCAGCTGGGGAGTACTGTGCTGCTTTTTCCAGGTGCAAAGATAAGCAAAACAACAAAAAGCTCTTTGTAGGGCTGTTTTCCTTTGTTTTTTCTTAAGAGAAAAATAGAGAAAAACAATGTAACGATGCCACGTGTCTGGCAATGCCTTCTTGATCTAACAGATATGCAATTTTCTAACACTACTAATTCCTGGTGGAGTCTGGATGTGTTCACCGTTGGTCTGCCCTGGGTGCTGCTAGTTCTAAAGGCAAATCCTATTGGGGGATGGTGTCTGCTGTTCCATTTTCACAGACTATTGAATAACAGACTAGCCAAACACTGGTGTGTTTCACTTTTCATGACCTGAAAGTTGATATAAACTGTAGGATGTGATTGTCTCTTCAAAGAATTGCTTGCCTAGAGAATTTGAAGCTTAAGAGAGAGTCTTTACAGCGACTTTGATGTGAACAGCAGAGGAGGCGTGGCAAGAACACAGAAGTCAGATGGGGGCTCCAGACTTAAACTTTAAGCCTTCAAGCAGAACTTGCTCCATCCCTAGTAGGAGAAATATAAATACAGTTAACTTAAATTATTAAATTGGTGCTTAGGATTAGTATATTAAGTTGATAATTTTTTTTCTTCTGAATTTTTAGAGGCAACTCTAAGAATCATTAAACTTCAATCTCTACCTTTTTTATTTTTCCCTTCCCTCTGACTCCTTTAGAAGTTGTGATGTAAGCATACAGTAATTTAGATGACTATGTGATTTTTTTTTTTTTTTTTTCATTTTAAACTTGCTGATCTATTGTTTTTTTGTGAATTTTGTTTCCACCCCACCCCTCCCTGGGTTGCTCTAAGCCATGCAGCTCTCATGTGGCTATACCTGGCCAGTTACAGGATATCTTGGCATTTGTTATGCATTTGGAAAGTACTTTTTTACAAAGTTTGTCAGATAGATAGGTTTTTTTTTTCTTAAGTGCATATGTTTCCTATTTTAAACAGGTAGGTTTACTGTCAGATATCCATTTCCCGTGTACTTGTTTTATATTTTGATTACATAGAATTTTCTTTTCTAACTTGCTGCATTGTGCTGGTATTTTAGTTCTTAGTTAGAATATCATGTTTAGAAACTTTGGATGAGTTCATAAGTCTTAATTGTGCAAGCGTTTACGTGATTGTGCCATTCCAAAGTGCATCAAAACTGTCATTCCCTACTAGTATCTTCTCAGGAGAAATGCTACAGATCAGGTATTTAGTCATCATTTGGAAAGTTAAAAACAAATGGACTCCCAAAGGACATTTAGAACATTTATATATAAAATATATAAATATATATATATACACACACATATATATATTAAGAAAAATATCCTCTTGTTTACAACAGTTCCAGAAAACCTCAAAGTAGCTCCCTTCAGACGGAGGGAGAAACGGATTCCAAGCAACACATCTGTTCAAACTGTGCTCAGTACATAGAGTTTTACTGGAGAGCTCTAAGTATGCCTGACTTGCAAATCTGCCAAATAGCAAGGTCAACTCATCAAAGTTCTTGGTTCCAAATGAGGAATTTGCTGTAGGTTTAGAAAATAATCTTAGTCAAGGAGAAAGGATTTCAGAGCGAACGAGGCACAGAGCTCTCTCTGTCATTTTTATAAACTCCACATAAGCAACACATTTCTTCTTGAAACATCTGTCACCTGGGGTTGCCATGTAAAGTGAGAGTTATAGTTGTGATATTCTTGTGTTTGTAGTTCAGAAGACTCTACTAATATGCAAAAAGCCTTACAGCTTTCAATTGCTGGCAACTACTGTTTAACAAATAATTAAATCTGTGATAATGGATGGAAATGGGTGGGATAATATAACTGTAGATGTTCTAGAAAAATAATTGTGAATGAATTATGATTAAGAGTGTTTCATGTGAAGATGTTTGAGCCATTTCTATCTATCATGCATTCCTGTCTCAAGGCAGAAAATTTTGAAGATAAAAAAAAAAAAATAAAATAATCAAAATAATACATTGTGTTGTCTTTGTCCATATCTGCTCTGGTTTCTTCTGTATATAAAGTGGATGTGGTGATCACAGTTTCCATGCCTGGTTCTGGGGTTTTGGAAGAAACTTTTAACTTGTGCTTTATTTGTACCTCCTAGACTGCCTAAAAACCAGGTAATTCAGCATCATGAATAATGCTGGTATCCTAAATATCCATCTTGTTTACTTTTTGAAAGTTTTATGACATTCCCCCTTTCTGTTTTTGATTAGTAGCCTACTAGCGTTATCCTGCTGTAGCTAATTGATGGGCAGCAGGGGATTACAAATAGGTAATGTCCTGATGAGATGTGCAGCCTGCCTTTCAGGGCTCTGCCAGAAGATTGCTTCTGAAATCATAAAGTATAAGCTTATTCTGGATTTAAGATGTTAAATACTGTGATGCTTCTCCTGGGCGGAGAGGAACCTGATCTGGGTGGAGAGGAACCTGATGGAGTT